AGCTTTTGCCACTGTGGCCCCGAGACTGTGGAACTCTCTCCCCCAAACATTAAGAACTGTGGACTCAGCAGCTGTTTTTAAAAAACAACTCAAAACTCACTTTTTTAAAACTGCTTTTGGTTAATTTTAGGCCTGTTTTATTTTCTCTTTTTAAATCTTTTTATGACTTCTAATCTTATGTGCAGCACTTTGTGATTCTGTCTTGAAAGGTGCTATATAAATAAAAATTTATTTATTTATTTATTATTTATTGTTTATTTATAAAAATATAGAAATAAGTCACTCGGAAAACTTACCACAGGCTCAGGTCGTATCCGTGGCAGCGTGCATGGTTTCCTGTCACTGTCCAGCACCTCAAAGGTCATAAAGGCACTATTTATGTGGCGCAGAGGTTCTCCACCCTGGTAGGCCTCAGCACAAACTCCCACCTCCATGCTAGTGTGCGCAGGAATGTGGGTTAAAGAAAACATATGCATCCAGCAAACAGCACTCCGAGTGTTATAATCACAAATTAGAAGGTTAAATATTTAATGAATATTTAATGAATAATGTGTCGCTTCACCTGTGCTTGAAAGCATTGTTAACAATAGCTTTCAGTACCAGTCGGTCGCCGATGTGAGACGGGCCACGAAAATGGAACATGTCTATGGACCTCAGGGTTGGATGAGCGTTACACAGGCGACTGCATCGAAATATAAGGAAAAAGAAAAACAGTGTTTTGATTGGATTTGTTTGGCCTCATTACAAATAAACTTTTGTCAAACAAAGAACAGTTTATCTTTTGGAAACTCAATCTCCTTTTTTCCAGCAATTAGATGAGAATATCGATACGTGTGGCAGTGCCGCTAGCTTCCACCAAACACACATGACAATAATACACACTCACTGGCCACTTTGTTAGGTACACCTTCATTGTACCAGGTTGGATTGCCTTTTGCCCTGAGAGCTGAATTCAAACTTTGTAGATTTTGGTCGATATTGACATGATAGAATCTGAACATTCATGATGCAAATCTACCCTTTCACCACATCCCAAAGGTGCTCTGTTGGGTTGAGATCTGGTTACTGTGGATCCCACTTGAGTCCAGTGAACTCACTGTAATGCTCAGTGCCACGTTATCCTGCTGAAAGCAGTAATCAGAAGATGGGCACACAGCATCAATACTCAGAGTAAGTCGTTTAAAGGACGCTTTCATCAACCGTGGATTTTCATCCAGGGAACTAAAGCTCACGTGATAGCTTATTGTTTTTGGACCATTCTTACAGTAGGTGTACTCAATAAAGTGGCCAATGACCGCAGCTCTTATACAACTCTTAGTAATCTAACAAATGTTTTTGCTGTTTGAAAAAAATTACATGTATACAATAGGGCTGCCACGATTACGTCGACTATCAAAATCGTCGACGACTGATTTAATAGTCGACGCGTCGTTTGAAGCTTTGTAAGATCACAAAAGACGCAGGAATAAGTAGTAGGATTTAAGAGTGTAATAACGGACTGAAACAGAAGATGGCAGCACTGCATGTACAAGGATGCCAGCTGCCCTTAAACCCCGAAGAAGAAGAAGCTGTGTCCCAGAATTCATAGCGCAGCCCAGCTCAGTTTCCAACAATGGCGGCAGCTAGTTAGTTTTAATATTACTCTTATTATTCTTTCTGGGTCACAAAATAAACGTTTAACATATTTTCAGGCGAGAATGTAGCTGTGTAAACCTCAAATATCTGCTCAGTTTATCAAGACACCACATATTTTCAAAAGCGCTCCGACGTTTTCGGAGACGTCTGTTAGCCACTAGCTCGATAGCTAGCCGGGGGCTAGGCTCACTAGAGCCGTGAGAACACCTGACTCCCGGCTAATCGTTTTCAAACCCACCGCCGTCTTTCACTACTCAGGTTAAACATGATATATAAGTCACTTAGATAACTTAAAATGTTATTGTTTGGCTTATTTTTTGTATTTTATTTGTTCCTGAGTAAATCGGTTTGGCTGAGATTAAAGTTATAGTTTTTACACAGCTGAATAAACTTCAAGCAGACAGCTGATTATCAGAAGTGTGAGATGCTCAAGAATTTACTCTGGTGTCCTGTTATATTTTAGATAGCAAGGAGTTTATTAAACTTCACCGAAACAATCTGCAAATTTCATTAAAATTTAATAAACTATCATCTTGTCTTTATTTTTAGTTAGCACAGACCTTAAACACTTAAAGCTGTAAGCTAATGATAGTTATATAAGAGCAGATGCTGCTGGTGCAATAAGCTGTACGTTTTACGTCCAATGGATGATGATCTGATTAGTCGACTAATCGCAAAAATAATCGGTGACTAGTCGACTATCAAAATAATCGTTTGTGGCAGCCCTAGTATACAAATAGAAAAGCTTTGTGCATACCTTGCTGCAATTGTAGCCACATTTTCCATCCAGGCCATAATCTGGCCCCCAAAAGTGCTGACTTGGTGGTTGGCATGGGGCGGAAGCACCAGCTCTACACTCTCAACACGTGTCCGCTCAGCTGGCACAGCGTCCTGATACTCCTGGCATTCTCCTGATGAGTGCACAAAAACAAGGACGTTTAATGAATCTGTTTTTTAAGTGCCGTGTGCTGTAAAGACTTATGTCTGTACCCAGCTGAGCTGTGCTGCTGCTCAGTAGGTCTGTGATAATCTCAGCGTGGATGAGCCTCATCCTCCTCCGCTCTGCTGCCAGGCTGTACTCCATCTGCTCCATTTGTGTGTGAGGAATCACCTGCTTCAGCTGTACCTGTGAGGACATAACAAAAAACTAATTTAAAAAGAAAAAAGCCAGAGATGTTAAATCAGATTTATTAAAATCCCCCTCTGCCCATATTTGGATCCGCGCTCTTTACCTTCCCAGCTTCTGTCCTTCTGGCAACAAAGGTGGCAAAGGCGTGGCAAACCTTCCACTGCCTGTCAGTGTAAAGGTCCTCGCAAGTCACTAAAATGCCCACCTGAGATGAAACAAATCACTGAAGTCATTATATTCCTTCCCTAAAATAATAAAAAGTTTAAATATCCCAAAAGCACAGAGTGCCGCCCGCTAACCTCCATACTGGACGTAAAGGCTCTGTTGACCTTTGCGATGATATTAACAACCTTTCCTACCCTGGAGGAGACAGACACAGACGCCATTCTTTACTATCAACAAGGAGAAGTATTTGTACTGCACATACTCTGAAACCTTTATGCTATGAGACGTAATTTTCAGTCAACAGCAAGGCATGTTTGGCCATCACTTGCTATCTGCAATTGGAAAGAAATGTTTACTATATTTTCGTGAGTCACCTCTTATTTTTTTAACGATTAAAAACATTAAATTAAGATTTATGGAGAATATCAGAACTAATGATTTATAACCGTAAAACTGTCTTTCTTGTTTAGTAGCATTTGTCCTTCAAACTTTACTAAAAGTTGAGTTCAAGTTGACATTTTATCCCAAAATGACCCTTTTTCTCTCCTCTCCTGGCACTGCATGCAACGTGTTGTCTCTGCAGTCATTACTCAGTTTGAATTAAACCTTGGCAGTCAGTACTAAGATTAATACCTTACCCTATGGTGTGTTCAAAATGAATGTCATCCACCGATGCAGTGATACAGGAACAACCTGCATGTCTCTCAGCTGGAAGATCAGAGATTACACAAAAAACTTAAGCAGTGCAGCAGAAAGCATATATGCAAAATACAAAATTTTATAGGGAGAGTGGTTTATTGAGTGGCTCCACAGTGTGGTGGTTTACACATTTTCCTAACAAATAAAAGCTCCCTAGTTCAATCCTGGAAAGAGGTGCAGATCCCTGTGGGGTTGCGGCATAAACACTTTGCCAGATCAAACATTTGGCACGACTGGAGATTGTTATTCGGGCTTTTATCTCATCACGTCTGGATTATTGTAATTAATTTGTAAATTTTTTTTAACAAAACTTCCTTGGAACATTTGCAGGCTGTTCAGAAAGCTGCTGCAAAGCGTCAAAGTCTTCTAAGTACTAACATGTCACACCATTTCTAATTTCAGAGTCCACTTTAACAATCTGGTTTTGACTGTAAAAGCATGGACAAGCAGAGCTTTTACACCCATACATGACCAGCAGATCCCTGAGGTCACGTGATAAGGGCCTGCAGCACTAGGGCGATCGTGGCTCACGAGTTGGGTGTTTGTCTTGTAATCGGAAGGTTGCCGGTTCGAGCCCCAGTTCGGACAGTCTCGGTCATTGTGTCCTTGGGCAAGACACTTCACCTACCGCCTACTGGTGATGGCCAGAGGGGCAGATGGCGCGATATGGCAGCCTCGCTTCTGTCAGTCTGTAGCTTGCCTCCACCAGTGTGTGAATGTGAGAGTGAATGAATAGTGGTATTGTAAAGTGCTTTGAGGGCCCCAAAAAGCGCTATATAAATGCAATCTATTATTATTAAGGGTGACAGAGCGTTTTGCAGCAGTGGCCCTCAGACTTCTCCGTAAGAGCAGAATTAATGAGTCCCTGAGTTTCAATTTTTCGTGATATACTGAAACCTGTGAGTATTTCTGCAAATATTCCTGCTCCATAAAGTGCAGGAAATCAGCACTGTGATACAAGCATTCACGTAACATGACTGAAGATTATAGTGGGTGTGACAGCGATTACAAAACAAACAACATCAAACACATTTAAAAAATTCAATGATCAGACTCTAACTCATGCCCATTACTTCCACCTACAATACTTCAGTTGAAATGATGGCGGATGGTTAATGGTGCGACCATGGTCTGTGTTCAAGGTTACAGTTGCATTCAAATGTTTGAGTTAATGAGCGACTTGCCAGAAGCAGAGTTACAGAAAGCTCATAAGAATTTTAATGCAATCATTTATCCTTTATTTGCAGCTTTAATCTGCATTTGGAATGAGGCGCATCGGAGAAGAGAATCTCCGATTAAACTGTACATGTCAGAGTTTTCCTGATCCTTTCCTACCAGATAAACAGGCTGTGGAGTCCATCCACTTGAGCAGCTGTCCAACACTCAGCTCCCCACAGTGATTGGCATGACAGGGCAGCACGATCTGACTCATCTGCACTTCAGTGGGGTTTCTGTACACTTCCCCACTCTCCTGGATGAGCAGGGAGTCCGGCATGGTGTCTGAATCTTTATTTTCTGAAGTCATATCTCACAACTCCACAGAAAAGGAAATACAGAAAAAGAAACAATTACAGCTAAACATTTGGTGTCAGAGGTAATGGATATGATTCAAGTCAGAACAAATGCGATATTCTATAAACATTTGTGAAGTCAACAAGCCCAGAACCAAACCTGAAAACTGCAGGTTGATTTCGTCCAGCACTGCAGCATAAGACTGCAAGCTTTAAATAATCTGCAGCTAGGTTTGTCCTCTGTGTTGCTCAACATTTTTTCACCCCTTACTCAGGGATCAGGAGCAGAAATGCATATTTATGAAATTAAAACTCTGCGGCATTTTAGGAAGTGTTCTAAAACTATGCTAATTTACATGTAGCCTAATTGCAGCTTGATACTCGTCTTATTTTAAAAGTCGCTATCACGCAAACTATTTCTGGGCATGCCACTACACTAAAGGGGGCATTCATGGAAAGTATTTGGTGGGATAGAAGTGTTTGCCCACAGCTAGTGCTCCAGTGGGGTGAACATTTAGTCACCTGTCTCTCTTTTTTAAGTTATCGATGGCCGGGGTGTAGTGACCTATAAACACATTTGTAGAGAAGTAACACAACATTTGAAATGAGCGTCTCACTTAATTTAATATTTCAGCATTTAAATATGTTATCCTGTGACAGCTATCACGCTAATGACGTTGTAAGCAATCGACAGAAAATTGCTTACTCACTTGAAAACTTCCTGCTGAAGCTGAAGTCGACAGAAAGTCCGTTTAGTGCCAAAGAGTGTCTTGTGCAAAACACAAAGTCAACAGAAAAAGTGCACAAAGCGACCCCAAAGCGGTGGCTCTTCTCATGTCACCCATTCCTGAATAACACGGCAACTAAATAAACACACACAACACAGGTTTAGTGAAAGGTTTCGCCACTGGAGGGAGAAAGAGGGAGAGAGACCGTCCCCGTAGTGGGTCTAGTGTTTAAGGTGGAATTAGAGTGAATGTCTTTAAGTTGGGAGATTCAAATCGTTATTCAATAAAAACGTAGTACATCTCATTTTATAAGTAGCTGAAAAAAATAAAGACTAAAACTAACTTTGTATGTGTGTGTATTGCACATTACATAAAATACTAATGGTGTAAACTAATAAAACAAAATGAGAATACTTGACTACTTAAATATATATAATAAAATAGAGCTTTATTTGATTCTATTTTATGGTTGTGTCAAGATTTTATTATTATTTCAACTTGACTGAATTCAAATAAATATAAAGCTTTAAAGAGTTCTGTTAACCTTTAGTGGGCTGATTAAAAATACGTGTAAACATTTTTAGAAAGATAAAATATACATTTCCTTTCATGCCCAGGATGCTTTATTTACACTGTAAGCGTAACAAAGTCACGAAACGACGCCTCCACTGTGGATTTGTGCGCTAAATCGCGCACTTTTGTTATCGCAGAACCGACGTTAAAACCAGTAAACGGTAAGCACGAAAAGGCAGACCTTAAGGCGATTGTTGTGTTTCTATTGGCCTATGGGAGCGTCAGTCAGACGTGGCTCCGCCTCTTTCTCCCCCTCCTCCGGAGCAGGCTCGGTTGAGTCGTCGGGTTGAGGAGGAGTGCGGTTGGAGTGCGAGAGGGTCGCGGCCGCGATGATCTGACAGATGAAATAGCAAAAAAAAGAAAGAGAAGGCGGGCGTCCTCCAAACAAAACAATGTTTCCCAAAGGCAAAGGGACCCCGGTGCCGTCGGACAGCCAAGCACGAGAAAAGTAAGCCGAGAAGCGTTTATTATTGTGTATTTTTTACCTCGTAAGTTGCTCCCTCTTGCTCTCTGTTGTTTGCTGGACAGGCTAGCAAGAGGCGATTTCCTCTTACCGAGAATGCAATTGAATGAACCGCCTTGTCTGCTCGCCATTCCTCCTTTGAGCTGTGTTCTGCTCCATGTAGATTATTGCTGATTTTGTACACATTTCCAGCCGATTCCGGTTGTAGTTTACTTGTGTTTTTATCGGCAGTTGTTTGAGATTTTTGCGGTTATTCGGACGACGGTGCGGAGAGAGTAAAACAATAACATCGCCGTGCTACAGTACATTGTTTTCTCTGTTGCGCTCTCTGGATAGGCTCCGTTTTAATTTCCCTCAGCCCCGTCACTGCCACCAAGATACTGTACCTAGCTAATACACAACAGGCTGCTGTTGTTTTCTTTAAATGTTTCGCATCACGACGTTAAATTACGCCGTTGCCTCCACACTTTATTTTAACCTCCTGATTGTTGAGTCTTCACCAGCCTTGGCTTTGCTTACGAGTCCCAATTTAATTTTTTGGCATCTGGTATTTGGCAGCCATTGTTCAGAGGGCCTTACCCGACTCTAATCACTCATTGTTCGCGTACAGGAAGATTCAACCTGATGTTTGGTGATTTTGCTTTGCTACTTGGTCAAGTTTGTTAAATTAAACCTCAATTTGTTATTATTTTTTTCTCCCCCGCAGGTTGGCTCTTTACGTGTATGAGTATTTGTTACACATAGGGGCACAGAAGTCTGCACAGACCTTTTTATCAGAGGTATGTGGCATTTAGGGTAAAAGTTTAACCGTATTAACACGTCCTTTATATTTTTAAACATTTATTTTTATTCTTCGAGGACAGTATTGTTAAAGTGACACCCATAGATAATTATTAAAATTGTGCTGTCCTAGATCCGATGGGAGAAAAACATAACACTCGGTGAACCCCCTGGATTCCTGCATTCATGGTGGTGGTAAGTGTCATCTCTTTGTAATGTAATAAAATGTCCACTTGTGTGTGAGTTGGGGTTTTTTGGCTTCATGAGCTCTCTTGTCCACAGTGTTTTCTGGGACTTGTATTGTGCTGCACCAGAGAGGCGAGAGACATGTGACCACTCCAGCGAAGCAAAAGCTTTCCATGATTATGTGAGTACTGCTTACAAGGAAACTGTTGCAAATTTTTCCTTTTGTTCGCCAGGAGAAGACAATAAGTTTGTGCTTGAGGCTGAGAAGTGATGTAAAGACTTTGTCTTTATATATAACTTTTTTTCATTATGTCATAATGTATTCCCTGTAGCACCTTGTAGCTGTATTTAACCATCTAATGCAATTTTAAACACTTTGTGTCGGCTGCTGATTTATGATCAGCTGTCATGATCTGTTGGTGGGTTGAATGCTGCGCCCAACCATGAGCTTTATGGGCTTCTGGGAAAATGATGCTGATGTCAGCATGTCCTGAGTCAGACCTGTCAAGTGCTCTCCCCTTAGCCCAAGCTCCCTGCTGCCTCAGTTGTGAAGACGAAGAACCTCCGATGTGTTCTGCACAGCATCGGATAATTTCATGCGCACAGCTCTATTTCTGTTAAAGACCTCCAGCTGCCTGAATGTGTGATAGCGCCAATACATGTTGAAACATATTACCTGCAGTGACATAATCCTAATGGATTTGAAACAGAAGAACTGCTGGAGCAGCCTTACATCCTGAATTTATGAGGTGCCACTCGGTACATGTGCATGGTTTGGTAGCGCATTGCTTCTCTTACGATAGCAGTTCTATATTTGCATGGTATGGGTGCTTTGCATCTTGATAATTATGCAGTTTTGAGGTGCTGTTGTCATTTCATTTCCTGCTTTGAGTCAGCATTCAAAAAAAGAACATTAAAAAGAACCTTGCATAGATCAAAAGAAGCTGAACTGAATGTCTATGGCCTCTGCCGTTCCCCTCCTAATGTCTCTTTCTGCCTCCAAAGATTAAAACGGTGCTGCTGATGTAAATAAAATAGAAAGACTTTTCAGGTTGTGCTGTATCAGCATAGGAAAGACATTAGAGGTTAAGGAGCCCTCTTAGGATGATTGATGCACAGTGCAGTTTGTAGGCGGGTTAGTGGTATACCAGACAGGAAGGGGTTAAAACTGAGATGTTGGTCCTGCTCTTGGCAGATAGGGTTGTCAGGGTAACAGGCCTCCTGATCTGGCAGGTGACCTGGGAGCCAAGAGAGAGGCTACGGCGTGGCTCTGCCCTTTCAGTAACCACATTCCTTATTATTGCAGCTCATACAAAGGAAAGACTGCGTTTTTGTTTGACAGTCAGCCTTAATTCAACTAGCCTACTTAATGGTAATTGATTGCTTCTGGTTGCTTGCTTGTGGAGAATATGCTCGTCCTTTTCTGTGATTGTGTCAAAGATCGGAGAGTCTGTTTTGGGGAAAATTGTATTTCCATACGTGAATTAGAGAATTAATCTCTGGGAAAATGGGAACATCATTTTTAAAGGAAGGAAAAACACAAAATAGGATGTTAAGTTGTATCTTTTGGTTTGACTGAAGCCATTTCCTTTGCATGGAAAACATTAAGCAAATGAAGGAACAGTGAAATGTCAGTCTGGGGAGTGTGCTGCTGTGGCGTGGAGCTTTGAGAGTTTCTGCACGGTTGGTTCTCCCTGACATCTTGTGGTTACCCTTCAGTTTGATGTTGGTTCTCTTTGTGTTTATTGAGGAGGTCAATGAAGTGTGTGTGTGTGGACAGTACGAGTCCTTGGACCCAAGCCTTTGTCTAGGTGTGGGGGAGGTGAGTGCTGTTCTGTTAGCCGGCAGCCCTCGTAAAGCTCCGGCGTATTCACGCTGGGCCTGACGAACGCTCCCCAGGGGCCCTGTCGCCATGGCGTCAGCGGCTGATTGATGGCTGTCATGGAGCTGAGGGGCATATTGGAAAAAGAAAAAGGGGAGTGGCAGCGTGGCATATGCCCAGCATCCACCACCGCAGAGGAGCCGAGGGAATAAAAGAGGAGGGGGCTGGGGAGGGAGACTGGAGGGAGATGTAAAGTGGAGGGGACCTGCGAGGGAAAGAGCATCCAGTCAGGATCCAGAGTGGGTTTTATGATGTTGATTGATGGTTAAACATTTACAAGCTAAACATAGGGGCTGGTTTCTTTTGAGAATCGCTTCCAGTGGAAGAAGTGAGGCTGTTAGGAGCACGCTAGCTCATGAGCTGTGCTGGTGGTCTGTGCTGCGGCTCAAACGCCTACATCGTTTCTCTCTCATCCACTTTAAAAAGCTTCATTTCTTTTCTTTCTTTTTTTGATTCATTATATTTTAAAAATTACCCCAGTCAAGCTCTTGGTTATCATCACCCTCCTCTTTGCTTGTTTCTCTTCCCTCGTCCCACCCCCCTCCCTCGTCTTTGTTTTTGTAAAGGGAGCACAAGCACATCCGCCGCCACTCTGGCCTTTTGTAACCTCCTTCAGCGATTCAAGCATTCAAAGAGAATTTGCTTGGCTGGAATTACTTGTTTGCCTTAAAGTACACACATTCACACGTGCTGAATCATGATGGGTGGGGGGGGGGGTCGTCTGTCTGTCTTAAAGGAAAATTCCCCTGGGAAGTTGTAAGAAAGGGCCCAGACAAGAGCCTCATAGCCCGGGGCAGGACTGAGACATCTGCCCTTTTCCGGTACCAGAGAGTCGTTGGGGAGACGTAGCTTATTTAGACCAAAAGCAGCACTGGACTCCTTGGAACAGTCCAACGAGCACAGCTGTGGCTTTAGAGCTGCGTGATAACGATCTAACATAACATGCCTGGGAACTCACCATGCACGTAGCTTTTCAGTCTGGCAAACAGTGTCTGTTGTTCTACAGGGATGTAGATTGTTGACGTCTTTTTATGACTTTGCGGTCAATACCTTAAATACAGCTTTGTTTTACTTCATTATTTCTTTGCAGGCCTCATTCCAGGAATGGGCTACTTAAGGGTAGAGGATCAAAACAAACGCCAGTTTCGCTTTGGAGGGGCCAGACAGGGATTGTATGAACATAAACCACTTAACAAGCCATAAATGTAGCTTAGCTTGTTTCTGTGATAAACACAGTAACAGCTGCTTTCAGTTTTTTAATGTAACCAAAAAATACAATCCTCTCTTACACACACACACACACACACACACACACACACGGTAGGACAAAGAAAATCAAGGAAAAGAAATTAATGGTTACATTTTAATTGTTAGGTTAACTGTGGGGCTGTTTTGGCTAGAAAATGGCTAGAAATCATAAAGGAAAGGTAAATCCTTATATCGTTGTTTTCTTTAACAAATGTAAAATTAAAGCTGTTTATGCTATTTGAACTCAGAACCAATGAGCAACTTTACTGGAGCACACATACACATTTTAGATGTAAGTAAATGAATAAAAAACGATGAATCTTTAAGACATTACTTTGCATTTCAGGAAGTTACAATGAAAACAAAGTTAAAACTACGAATAACAGTTTTACCTACAGTTCCGTCAGTAGGGTGCAAATAAAATCAAACAAACAAAACTGAAAGTCAGCTCAGACAATTTGTTTTTCTCCTTTGGATAACCTGAGTGTCGAGTCCATACATTAGATTTGGATTCAATATACGTGATGGTTGCTGAGGCCCCTCACTTCCTGTTTTGTGCCTTTGCTGGTGATTGTTCTCAGTTGTTACAGTTTTGAAAAGCAGTAATGCGTCTGATAAATTTTGTGAGGCTTTGTCTGAAGATTAACGTTTGCTACTTTTGGTGAAGGGTAGATTTTTTTGTGTCCTGTGGAAGTCCTCCAAGCAGTATTACAGCATCAATGATTTAAAAAAAAAAATCCTTTTTTTCAGTATTGTGACCACAGTTACAAAATTCAGTTTAAAGAAAAAGTTCACTTTCCCATGTGGACATAATTGCACATCAACATATCAAAGCATCATTTAGATTTGGCCTCGCTTCTGTTTTGCAGTGTCACCTCCGAGGTTTGCTCGCTAAGACAGGCAATGCTTTAGAAAACTTGCGCTAAATTTTGTGAGACACTTTTTTGACAATTACAAAACAAAAAAATCTGTCACGTATTTTACTTGATTTTTTTTTCGTAAATAAAATCTAATGTGATAGAAAAGCCAGGATGTCATAAAGGACTCTTATGTGTATATGAAAATTGGCCCAAAAATAACTCTAGAGAAGGCAGAAAGGCTTTGGGTATCTGCTCAGCTTCACTGCAATAATTTATCGTTACATTAGATTATTATTGGGCTGAACACCTGCGCTAATCGTGTGGTTGCTCGAGAGAGAAACCAGAAAGACACTCAGGAGTTAACCTTGATCATTGAGCATAAGGGGATAATATAAAAAGTATAATATAAAATAATGAACAGGTAAACTAGTGATAAGTCATCACATTTGCCTGTTTTTTGTTTTTAAGTTTCCTTTTTTCATTTTAGAGTATTTTTTTTTTAGCTTGTTTTGGGGGAGAATCAGGGAAAGCTTTTGTCTTAACAAAGCCTTAGCCGGATATCAACTCAAGCCTTAATCAAAAGCCAGATTTGAATCTCTATATGCTAAACAACAGTCGCTTCTTTTCTTTTCATGCAACTTCTTTCACTGGCTTCCAAGTTTGTGGCGTTGTCCCTGACTGATCACAGTGCTGTTAACTTCCTGTCATAAACCTTAAAGCAGCAAGCATATAAAACAGTAAAAACGGTAATAGTGATAACAAAGACTGTGTGGGGATGGGAGGCAAACTAAAGAGTAAGGTGTTGGGCCACCACATGCTGCTAAAACAGTGTCACGGAAATTGAGCCTGGACACTCAATTGGAGGGAATTACTCTGTCCTGTTTCCCTCATTTGGCTTTTAATGGTGATGATGGTGTTGCAGCCCACATTCATCTACAAGAAGGCGTTAAAGTGGTTTAATATCTGATGACTGCGAAGGCCGAATGTTATGATTCAGATTATTTTTCATTCATTCAAACATCTATTGACCCCACATGAAAGAAATCCCCCCTCACATCAGGACAGAAACTTTTCATTGGAAGCTTTTATTGATTTCTAGTGACCCTTAATTCTAAGCGGACAAACTAAAGCTCACAATCTAACAGAGTCACTGGATCCCTTCACTTTGGGGTCAAGGGTTCAAACCTGTATCATTTTGTTCATCTGTTGGGTGATGCGTTTCTCACTTATTTTTTTGTGTGTGCATTTTTGTAGATCAGTGGTTATCATTTTTACATCACTAAGCTGTCAAATATGCATCGATCTTTGAAATGTGGGGATTATGCACTGCGAGCCTGCTATAATAACTCTGTGTATGTAATTGCCAATGAAGAGTTTTTGCTGACACAGCCTGATCACTGCTATTGACGTTCTCAGGCAGAGATTATAATGTAATGCTGTTGTGGGCAGCGCACTGAGCCTCGAGCTCACCAGCTGTTGGTGAGATTTACACCCGTTGGATCCAAGCGGACTATGGCATATTCACAGATGCTGAACTATAACATCCACGTCAGTCACCCGAGGAAGAAACGGCCCTCTGTTTCCGTCCATATTGCACTAATACAAGGATCACACATCACAGCTATCAAATATGTGGTATCAAACAATAATCTTCAGTGTCTTTCTCACTGACCAGAATTTAGATCTTACCTTACCGTACTACAACGACTAACACACCAGACGCTTGAGCAGGAGACTGAAGCTCCAGTCACATATACTTCCATAGTGAGCCCTCTTTCAGAGTCATAGCTCTTGCTATCTTAATGCAAAATCAGAAGCAACTGGCCTGCTCAGCATTTTTGTACATGCTGCAGTGCATGACTGGATCCTGATTTCTTAATTGTACTCGGCAGTAGGGCTGCCACGATTAGTCGACTAGTCACGATT